AAAAGTGCAAACATTTTTCAAGCCTTTTTAAAATGGAAAATATCGTTTATTTAGAAAGTAAATTAGAGATGAGGAGAGAGAGGAGATTCACCTTACCAAGGTAGGGGAAGGGACCAAAGCCAAGAAGCATGGTGGCCACAGCTCAAAGAGCCACATAGACACACCAGAGTTTAGCAAAGTAAAGGCCCTTTTCAGGCTTTTTAAGTTATATACTCAACTGTGCTATCGTATCTGCAAGTTATAAGTACTATAAAAATGCAAAAGGTGGAAAGATGGTTTCTAATTAAGACTAGGGAAAGGGAAATTTTTGATTTAGTATGTGACTAAAGCTTTGATAGGTGGATGTTAGGGCAGAGGGTGTTCCTTTTAAGAGGAAGCATTTTGAGAAATAGAATCCAGAGGAAGCCTTGTTTAGGGCACGTACAACTTCAATAGATCTAGAATGCTTGGCAGAAATTGGGGATGATGAGGGTGAAAGCTCATTGTGATCGATATCTGAGGACATGTTAAACAAAAAGCCTTTGCCTGGCATTTGGGGGCATAAGATAATCCCAGAAAATGAGGGGAACTGCAAGGTTTCCTGAATGAAGCATCAGTTGGTGATGAGGAGTGCTGACATTCTGACTGTTTGGAATGGACTTGAGTGAGAAAAGAACAGAGATAAGGAGACCATTCCTCCTTTGACTGCACCAAATTGGGTATGGTCTAATGAGTCTGAATCAGGATCTTTCCACAAACTGGCTCTTGTTGAGCGGGTAACTGTTTTTCACCAGGATCTAGTTAAAATTATGCCTGTATTCTCTGAATGAAGTTCGGGAATTATTTGTATCACGTCAGAGCTCGAAATCACTCTTCTGAAAACACTGTGTCTTATACTTTTGAGTTACAGTGAGCTTGATTTTTATTGCTAGATATTCATGCACAGGCCTTGAAAATATGATTCTATAGTTCTAAGTTGATAGCTTTCTTCTTCTTTTAAGACTGTTGCTGGTGTGTTACACCACCATGAGAAGTAAGTGCTAAAATTTAACACAACAGTGGGAACATTAGTTCAAGCCATACAGAGTCTTGAAAACGTAGAATTGCTTTTTGATGTTAGAGTTTCCCTTTTAGAGACAAAGAAAGGCCACAAATCATGCTGATAATTTCCCGCTCTGTGAGATTTCTAGCCATTGCATTGTTAACTGTTCAATATGATGTTGTTCTGAACCCCATCTATTAAGATCTGAAATCACTGTAGAGTACATACTGAATAAGCGTGCCAAATAGTAGCAAATTCCATTAAGTTTAATTATGTTAATATACAGTCTCATGTCTTGTGTAGGATTCTTCCAGGTAGATGAAGTTTTACGTAGGGAGCCAATTGTTGAGCACCGATTTGGATTATTTTTTCATTTTATGTATTCTAGTCTCTAGAACTTACTTGCAAGTGTGTTTTCTGACTATTACAGAACAATAAGATGTAAAATAGATCTTTTAAATTTAATCAGTGTGTATAATACATATAGAACCATAAATCTGAAGATATAAATATATCTAAACTTTTTATTAACTTACCAAAATATTTCATGCTTACCTACAGGTATCAAATATGTAACATATGGGTATTGGGAAGTTATTCCTGACTATATTTTTTTGAGCTGAAAAACACACTACTAGGGTTGATGGCCAAGAAGAAAACCAGTAAACAAAAAGTCAGAAATGTGTTTGAACCCTTTGCCCCAGCCGGGCTCGGTGGCTCAGCCTGTCATCCCGCGCCTTTGGGAGGCCGAGGTGGGTGGACTGCCTGGGCCCGCGGGTTCGAGACCCGCCAGGGCAGCGAGACCTCACCTCTACAGCAAATCCAAAAATCAGCCGGGCGTGGTGGCGCGCGCCTGTCATTCCGGCTACTCGGAAGGCTGGGGCGGAAGGATGGCCGGGGCCCAGCAGGCGAGGCTGCGGTGGCCGGGAGCGGCCGCGACACTCCGGTCTGGGCGACCCAGTGAGACTCCGACTCAAAAAAAAAAGAAACCTTTGCCCCATGTAACCTTCACCACATCTGCCGCTGCTCACTGCCGTTTTGCCTTGAGCAGTGCATGCAGACCATTCTCTGTTCGAGTGCATCCCTCGAACCACACCTATGCCGGTCAGTAGTAGACTGACTCATCTACTGCTTTGGAATAGACGCAAAACTATACCCTACAGACAGCCGAGAGATTGGAATTGGAGCAATGAGCCAGGACACAGCGGAGGGTCTTCCGATAACTACCGGAGAAGAAATAAATTAGGCGAGTCCCTGGGGCACGCTGTAGACACATCTGCAGTGTTGGTCCTGGCAGGCGAGTGACTGGGACCGCTGCAGACACATTCACAGCGTTGATCCTAGCAGGTGAACGGCTGGGTCCCAGGTACACACACCTGCAGCGCTGATCCGGGTAGGTGAGTAGCTGGTGCCCCCTGAAGACACAGCCACAGACTTGACCTGAGTAGGCGAGCGGCTGGTGCCCATGTAGACATCTCTGCAGCATGGATCCAGGTAGCCTCACGGATCCAGGTTTCAAAGCTTGACCTAGTTCAGGTATCAGATGAGAAACTGTGATACCTATTTGTGAGGGATGCATTTCTATTGATAAATTAATATTTGCATCAATGCTAAGGTGTCCTTATGGTCTAGCACCAGTCACTTTCACCGAAGAGCAGTTTTATTGCACCCCTAGGATTGCAGGTCCAGGTATGTGGTTACAGCCGTAGTAAGTGGTCGCCTTCAGCCGCTTGTACCTATTCGAATCATTTGTATCTTGATGCAATTTCATATTTAATGAATTCAGTTACTTTGTGCTTTAAAAACTCTAATCCCTGAAAGTTATTTAAAAAATTATACCTTCACCTAGGGAAGGAGATTTCTCTGTGGCATTTCTTATTATCTCTCATTAAATTATGATGTTTGACCCAAGCCATTGACCTTACAAATTGTTTTTACCAGATTGTAGGCAAAATAAGGGTGATAAGAATTAGTAGACCCAAACTAAAACTAACAATAGCTAAAACTGAACATAGCTGAATTTGTTATTGACTAAATATTGATGGAAAAACAAAAGCCTCTTGACAAACTTTAGACCAGGATCTGGGAAATTTTGACTTTAGTAAAATGCATCTATAAAATAAAAATCACAGTAACATAAAATATGATTTGCAAAACCTGATATTAACCCCAAACTGAGGAATGAATACATTTTGTTTTGAAATGTACATGTAGTAAAAATCAATTATAGTATAATTGAAATGAAAATAGAAATAGCAGAATACAACTGTAGTAAATAGAGAACATGATGGGAAGCTGAAACAGGATGATTGCCTAGGGAGTTCGAGACCCACCTGGGCAGCATAGCAAGACCCTGTCTCTACAAAAGAAAAACTGCCAGGAGTGGTGACACGTGCCTGTTGTCCCAGCTACTTCAGAAGGTGAGGCAGGAGGTCTGCTTGAGCCTATAAATTCAAGATTGCAATGAGTTATGATCGCTGTACTCAGCCTGGATGATAGAGATTCTATCTCTTAAAAAAAGAAGAGAACATAAATAAGATATTTGTCTGAGTTAGTTCTAGAAAATAAAATTGTCAGTGATTTATCAGTGATGGCAAAATTGTCAGTGATTTATCAATGATGGCATAACTCATACAAATATGTTATGATTGTTTTTAAAGTAAATTTTCATAGTCAAAGTATTAGGATCACAAATATCCATTTGTTCATAAAAGGGGACTCAAGAGTGTAGGGTCAAACATATTTTCAACTCCTCTTGTGTACAACATCATGGTGGAGAAGACTTCTCTCTCACCATGCTAGTACTCAGTGATGGCCTTTCTTTTCTTTTCTTGTTTTATTGCTTTTCTTGTTTTCACTAATATTTATTTAATCATTCATTTGAATGCGTCATTTTCACATGATATCTTATGTGAACATCACAGTGGCCATATGAGCCAGCTATTATTCCGTTTTATAGCGTAATGAAATGTAACAAGTTACCAAAGGATTCATAGTAAGTAGCCCAACCAGGCTAGCAAAACAAGCTCTTCTAATTTCAGATTTAGAATTATTTTCACTACCTGACCTGGCAAATACTGATGAACATATAACTTAAGCATCCAACCCATAAAAGATTGTGTGTTTTTTCGTTTTTGTTGTTGTTTTGTTTTTTACTACACTTGGTGGTTTCTGTTATCCATCTTTATTAAACTGCTCTAGGTTGTGCTGTATGACTAGTCTTCCATGAATCCCCATGACTACGTATTTCTTTTTCCAAAGTCACATAACAAGAATTCTGTTGGTAGGACCACGATTCCAAGGAACAAGTTCCCATTTACAGGGCAGACACACAAAAACTGTGTGAATTTGCAGGTGAAATCTCACGTCTCTGAGACTTGAGTTCTTCATCTGTGAAATTATCTGCTCTGTTTATTTTGTGTTTTATTTTTTATTTTTTGAGTCAAAGTCTCACTCTATCATCCAGGCTGGAGTGTGGTGGCATGCTCATGGCCACTGCAGCCTTGACCTGCTGAGCTCAGGCAATCCTTCTGCCTCAGCCTTCCAAGTAGCTGGAACTACAGACACATGCCACCACACCTGGCTGATTTTTTTTATTTATTGTAGAGACAAGGTCTCGCCATGTTGTTCAGGCTAATCTCGAACCCCTGAGCTCAAGCAGTCCTCTTACCTCTGCCTCCCAAAGTGCTGGGATGGCAGGCTTGAGCCACTGCGCCCGGCTATTTTGTTTTGCTAGTAAACAATAACAAACAGCAAATTTCTAGCAATGAATGGCAACTTCATCATTATTCAGCTACAGAACCCACTATAATGGCAGACAGATAATGTGATAAAGTTCGAAGAGCAAATGAGATGAGATTTGAGAAAAGGTTTTGTAAAATACGATTTTCTATCAAGAATACAAGGTGTGATTACTTTTGTTGGTGATTCTTGTGCTTTACCTGAAAGACTTCCTGTGCCTTCTCTCTTGTTCTCCCAGGACCACTGAGGTTCCTTTCCCAGACAGAATCTGTCACAGCCTTCATGGGAGACACAGTGCTGCTCAAGTGTGAAGTCATTGGGGAACCCATGCCAACAATACACTGGCAGAAGAACCAACAAGACCTGACTCCAATCCCAGGTGATTCCCGAGTGGTGGTCTTGCCCTCTGGGGCATTGCAGATCAGCCGGCTTCAAGCAGGGGACATCGGAATTTACCGATGCTCAGCTCGGAATCCAGCCAGCTCAAGAACAGGAAGTGAAGCCGAAGTCAGAGTTTTGTCAGGTATTACAGTGCTATTTGTTCTCTTCAGAATGGTATTCTCTGGAGTGGTCGGAATAACACGTTTTTTTAAACAAATATTTTTGATTGTTATGTTTGGTATTGTTAATGGGGTTGCGTGTTCTATAATTTCTTCCTTTCTTGCTGAGACTTTAGATGAGGATATGTCAAAAGCTGTTCTTAAATTTTCATGTCTGGCTGAAGTTTGTGGAGAAACAGGCATCTCTCTTTCGTTCATTTCTCATTCTGTTAGTATTTGGTGAGTGCGTCTCTGTGCAAAGCCCATTGCTAAGTGTTTATTAGACACTATTTCATTTTCCACTGAAGACAATGTAAGAGCCAGTTATGATCATCTTCATTTTCAAAGGATAAAGGTGAGAATTAGCAATGTTAAGAACATTTACTAAGTTAATGTTTAACAACCATTTACTTGTCCATTCATACGCTCATTTCTGAGAAGCATTGCGCTAAGTGCTAGGGGTATAGCGGTGTCTAAGACTGACCCAGAGCCTAGCTTGTTAGCGTTCTGGGCGAACACACAGATAAGCGTAATTACAATACAGTGTGATTAATATTATGATAAGGGAAGTGGGTTCTCTCCATCTTCTGGGAAGATGCTGAGATTCGGACTTCATTTTCCTCTCCTGAGTAATGAGAGGTTAGATTGGATGTTTTCTAAGATCTCTTCTCTTCCAATAACTGCCACTATTAAATATCTATGTAATATACATTTTCTCATTTAATCTCACGTGTAAGACTTAGACTCTCTTGTGAGAATCACACAAAACAGGCATGCGCTTGAGCAACGGGACCGACTGCTTATCAAAGTATGACTGTCGACTACTGTCTCCGCACTCTTAACTGTGTCTAGTTAGCACAAATGTTTCCACTGTGCAGTTGGTGGCATTCCCAAGTCAATCTAGAAGCAAGCTGGCAATTCGCTTGAAAGTTTCCAGCAGCTTTAATGGAGACATCTCTAAAACCTCTCTCTAACTCTTTTGTATATTCTCTCCTACATTAATTGCAGGGATACTGACTTAAGTGTGTCAGTAACCATTGGCAACACTGTTGCATTTCACCCACCAGACAGTGACAGATGCAAAGGTAGCATTTATTCCCAACACATACATGCATCTGTTTAGGCGTCCATTACTTACACACATTTTTAAAATATTTATATTCACATATTATTAATAATGCATGTGTTGAGTATATCATATAGGAAGCCAAACTAAGCTTCACAGAAAATTGGCAAGAACATGTTTGATTATCTTCATATGACAGAGATGTCTGTTACCCAGTGGCATCAAGGAATCCAGCTGGACTAAACAAATATTAAATTTGAAATGGAAAGGTTTGAAAGACACAGAGGCATAATCATCAAATCACCATTCACCTTTAATTACTCGCCTTGCAGAATGCATTTGCATTGTAATCCATGGAGATTTTTTTAAAGCCAAATTTTATATTGTTAATTTGGCTAAAATCAAGAATATGTTGGCATACTTTGCTGTATGTGGATATTTCTTATCTTATTGGAAACTAATTTTTATTTTAGAAGAATACTACATTTGATAAGAATTTTTATGTAAGCTCTATGAATTCATAGTACAAAAAGGAACTATGGGTTGATGTAATACACACATATACACACATAATACACACACGTTATTGTCATACTTGGATGAGGCCATCTCATATGACACTGACCAAATAAAACTGTTACTGAAAGAGAATGTATTTGACTCAATTATCCTTAAGTTGGCAAGTTGATTTAGAGGTCAAAATCACACATCCACAGTAAGAACGAGATTGAGTAAGAGAATGAATGTGTGAGTGGTCAATCCCAATTTCCTTAGCTGCCACTTATGATTCTCTCATTTTTGAAATCATCTCAATCCTTTTTGAATCCATTTCTATTGTCTGTAAGTACCAATTTGAGGCAGTAATAAATTATGTAAATACATGCATATATTTATGTACACACACACACACACACACACACACACACACACACACACACACACACGAGGGAGGACCCCCCCAAAACCCCAGAACGTGTTTATAAAAATTTCTGTTTATTCTTACATGTTTAAACGTCAGTCACCTTCAAAGGACTCTCTGTTTGATGCAGTATGCCTGTCGAGATGCTCTTTCCACTGCTCAAAACAGTTTTTGAACTCATCAATTCTGACGCCTTTTCGTGTTTGTGCCGTTGTGTTTCACATCTTCCATGTTTGCAGAACGTTTCCCTTTGAGAATTTTTTTCATACAGAGAAACAAAAAAAGAGTTGTTCAGGGTGAGATCGGGTGAAGAGGGAGTGTGGCACAGGGGACGTGCTCTTTGAGTCAAAACCTGCTGAACCCTTGGCGTGGTGTGGACTGGAGCGTTGTCATGGGGGAGGAACTTGTTTGCCACAACTCGGAACATTTCTTCCCTGACACAACTCTCTCGAAACTTCCAGATAGACACCTAGGTTGATCATTTGATCCAGAGGAACAAATCCTGAGTGTACTACAAGGGGCCTGCCCTTCAAAAGATAATTCCGTTTTGGGGGCGGGAGGGGTCCTCATATGTATTTAGAATCCATATATATATATATCCTGTTCTGTATTCTAACTCATTTAATTGGGGGAGAAACAGCCAACTAAAATAGAAACCCATTATATTATTAACAGAACTTAGGACCATTAAAAGCAGTACCAGAATGGTTAGAGCTCTTTAAAAACTATTATTTCATAGTTGTCAAAGTGCCATATTGACTGACGAAGTTATTTATTTCTTGCTTTAGTCTGAAACATAAAGGTTAATGTGAACTTTTGCGTCTTTGCACAACAGTTGTTTCTACTGCAATAGAGTGTTTGAACTTGTGTATATTTACAAAAAAATTATCTCATTCTAGCTACTCCTTTTATATATCAGGTGCTTAATATCACCAGGTAACCGAGCTCTATTAAACTAAAATTTTAGCAGTCAAATAGTAGTTTTAGAGTGCTGCCTCTCACCAGCCAGTTTCAGATGACTTGTTATACAAATAATAAATTCTGAGTGAATCTTATATACCTGCCATCTCGAAGAATGAAATGTTGGAAGTCTAGGCCCTAAAACAGCCAGAAGGTGCGGGGTATAGAGAAAGCGAGTAAGCTGTAGCTTGCAAAAGAGAAAAATACCAACGTGCTGATCTTGAAGAACAAGTAGTTGCTAAGCAAAGAGAAGTGTACACCCTGAAAAAAGAGCAAAGTGCAGAGAGAGGAGAAATCCAAAGCTTTGCAGGAGACCTGCGTATATTGTCTGGCTTATGGGGCACAGGAAGCAACGGACCAGGGCAAGCAGGAGGGAAGGGAGTTTAAACTCAGAGGAAAGATGAGGTAGACTCCCGTGGGAGTCATGAATCCTGGAGAGAATTACCAGACGCGGCTATCAAGGCACTCCGGGGGGTTCAGAAATGAAGATGCTAGGGAGATATTAAAAGCAGCTCTTGAAAACATATAGCAGGCAGCGTATGTTTGAAACAGAAGATGGATTCCAGGCTCCCCCCAAAACTAGTTAGGGCACTTTTCACTGAGACCAAAGTGTGGGCGGGTGACATTATTGTGTTTAAAATAAATGATACCTGCTTACAAGAGATTTTCCCATACTATGTTGATCTTTTCCAGATTAAAATAATTAGTATTTGTTTCATTCAAGGGAAGGAAAATTAGTAACGAATTTCACTTGTGGGTTAATATCTTAAGACAAACAGAATATTTGCTTATGAGGTATTATACATTTTTAAGAGAGTAGGCCAGTAATAAATGGTTGTAAATAATTTTTTTGGAAATAGTAATAACAAAGCACTCAGTAAGAGTTGAGATGTTTTAAAATGTCTTATTGTATATGATGGAGAATATATGATGGATTGAAACAGTCATTGTGATTTTCAAGTTCACTTTATTCATCTCATTGCGTCTTGGTGCCAGGAAGAAGATTGAATTGCAGAATTATAAATCTGCTTTAGGTACTAGGTTGACTAAAATTCCTGACCCATACACTGGGACTCTTATTTTAGTTTTATAAATGGCCTAATTGAATTGATGAATTGATAACTCAATCTATTGTTCATTTGTTTAATTACAATGAGATGACTCTGGGCCTTGTATAGACTGAGCTAAATATCAATATAATGAGAGACATTGGCTTTTAATAAAATAAATTGAACTAAACTATGTTTCACATCCTTTTTTTCTATGATATCTAGTTTTTATTGAATTGCATATTATCAGAACCCACTCAAAAAGTCATCTTACTTAAAAGAAAACTTTTTTTTGTTTTAAGCAAATACTAATCAAATCACTAAGAATTTATTTCTAACTCAAAGATGCATTAAAATTTTTAGTTTTATTAAATATGACATATTTCAAAATTAAGTAAATATTACTACAATCTATTTTTATAATTTCTACAGAATAATGATCTATAAGGGACAGCACAGAAGATACATTTTTTACTCTTTAAATTTATCAGATCGCCAGATCCAGTGGCTCACGCCTGTAATTTCAGTACTTTGGAAGGTTGAGATAAGAGAATTGCTTGAGTTCAAGATCAGCCGAGACAGTATAGGGAGACTTTGTCTTTATGAAAAATAAAAATAACTAGATGTGGTGGTGCACATCTGTATTTCCAGCTACGCAGGAGGCTGAGGGGAAGGCATTGCCTGAGCCCAGGGAGCTGAGGCTGCAGTGAGCTGTGATCACGCCACTGCACTCCAACCTGGGCAACAGAGGGAGACCCTGACTCAGAAAATAATAACAATGAAATAAATAAATATATACACTTATCATCAAGCCAAGTATTAATTCATGCAGCCAAATGACTAAGCTGTGAGAGGGAATAGTGAATTTAGGTAAACTTTTCTAGTTCTGACTCAATGCAGACAAGGAATAAATCAATTTTAGGTGGAAAATTGGGGACATCTTTATGGAAAATTCCTTTTCTAGGTCATAAGGGAAGAATGATTTGTAGA